CCCCGGCTCCGGGCGCCCTCAGCCTGCCTGGGGGCGGGTTTTTATCGCCCCGAGGGAACAGGGGTACTTCCTGCCTGTTTGGCTGGTAGTGCCACCATCTCACAGGCCCCTCCGAGCAACTGCCTGGCCGCTTCAGCGATCGAAAAGCTGTCTCTGTATGCTACGGCTGGGGAGGAGCTCCTCAAGGCGCTGGTGAAAGCTACCAGGATTTATCAGGGGTAGCGCAACCAGGGTTTGCACTGGTGACTGGTGATGCCTGAAGGACTGTCTTCAGATAACCCACATGGATATTTACAACTGCTGTTCACTTCCAGTTTATTTCATAGGAGACTTGAATTCTGTGTGGCAGATGCTGAAATAATAGATGCCACAAGAATTAGCAGGAGTTAACTGTTCAACAATATAAACCGAGGGCTGACTGAGCACTGAAGAGGGACTGCTGTCTCACCTTACTGATGGACCTTCTGTGGTCCTTTCTGAGCACTGTCTCTGTCTCGTACCATGGTTTTTCAATAAGGAAGTGCTTTGCAGATTTCTAAAGAAAACTAAACTTTTAATAGGGGGAAGAATTAAGCTTTAAAGAGTCAACCTCTGGGTAGTTTTAAAGAACTTCTGCAAATTAAAGGACTGTTTCTATCATTCTTTCCAGGGAGAAGTTCAAAAGGGAATAAATATGGCCAGCAGTCACAGACCTCCAATAGCTCGTCCTTCTTCAAGAGCAGGAATAGGCCTGACTGCAAGGCCTACCTCTTCATCAAGGACTCCATCAGCAACCAGAATGGGAACAGGGGTATGTTAAAAAGCTTGAGCATTAACTTTGATATATTTAGATTTTTACCCGTTTTTTTGTAATTTTTTTACTACCATGACTGGTGTGATAGTTTCTCAGGAAGAATTTCAAGATTTTAATTTTGTAGAGAGTTATATTTTCTAATTTTGGCTGAAAGGAGTCAAGGAAGTCTTGCATCAAGAGTTCACCTGGGAGACCTTAATAGCATTAATGTTGCAGACAGAGGGAACAATGAACAGCTGCTCGAAGGTAATCTTTTACCCATCTGCAGCGGACATTTGGCTGAAACATTGTTTACCTGAAGAGATGTAAATACTAAAAGATTCTTACAGGAACAGTGTAGAGACTAACTTAAATTTTTAATTGCTTTGACAATTGCATAAGGATAAAAAATTCATAATTCAGGGTTGGGAGGTTTGTGTTTTGTTGTTTTTATAGATGCCTCCTAGTACATCAAGACCTGGTTCTCGTGGTGGTTCTTCGACTACTGGAGGAGTCTTATCATCTCAGATTAAAGTTGCAGACCGTCCAGTGACTCAACAGGGATTAAGTGGAATGAAAACTGCAATGAAAGGTATTTTTACCGAAAATAGCTATCAAGGTGTCTGCAAATGTTTTAAAGAAATATTTAGGTTTTTAAAGGAAAACTTTTAATTGCTGTATAAATTGCAGAGTGGTTAGCTATGATTGATAGGAGTAGGAGAAAAGAAAGGAAGATTAAAACATCCTTCTTTTATTTTCTTTTCTCTTGGCAGTCAGAGAAGAAAAAGGCTTTTCTGTGCCTAAGCTGTATTTAACAATCATTAAGAAGAATAGGACAGGATCAATTGTGTCTTAGAATCATAGAATAGAATCATAGAATCATTAAAGGTTGGAAGAGACCTCCAAGATCATCGAGTCCAACCATCAACCCAACAACACCATGCCCACTAAACCATGTCCCTAAGCGCCTCATCTACCCGTCTTTTAAATACTTCCAGGGATGGGGACTCAACCACTTCCCTGGGCAGCCTGGTCCAATGTTTAACTACTCTTTCAGTAAAGAAATTTTTCCTTACATCCAATCTAAACCTCCCTTGGCGCAACTTGAGGCCATTTCCTCTCGTCCTATTGCTTGTTACTTGGGAGAAGAGACCGACACCCACCTCGCTACAACCTCCTCTCAGGGAGTTGTAGAGAGCAATGAGGTCTCCCCTCAGCCTCCTTTTCTCCAGGCTAAACAACCCCAGTTCCCTCAGCCGCTCCTCATAAGGCTTGTTCTCCAGACCCCTCACCAGCCTCGTTGCCCTTGTCTTCTTCCATCACTGCAGAATAATCAAAATACTTTGTTATATAGTAACTATTCATATAGCTGAAAAAGTAATGTTTATCTTCACAACAGTCTAAAATTAATTTCTGCCTTTGTTTGTTTTAGTGAGGTAAAATCTATTTAAGAACACTGAAAAGATGGCAGTTTTCTGCCTGCAAATTCTGCAGATTGTTTTCATAATTTACAGTTCATCAAAATCAGTTCGTTTTCTAACAAAAAGTCATCTTATTCTCCTCTATCAGGTCCTCAGAGACAAATAATGGATAAAACATATTACCTTGGACTGCTGAGGTATGTCTTAACAACACATTCAAACTGCAGAAGGTTTAATGCTCTGTTCCCTTTCTGACATGAAGTTTGTTGTGCTTACAATAGCATGGGATAAGTGGTGTTCACTTATAATGAAATCTGTCCTGTTACAAGAGTTAAGGTCATTTTGCATATAGTTTGTAGCAGGAAAGGAATTTTATGCTTATGTCCAAACATGTATTCCTTTGACATCTTGTTATTAGGCTTGCTAAGTTAAATGCACTCCCACAGTGTTAGTAAAAGGAGGGTCAGTGATTTTGAGCCTCCACCTGTAACGCTTGGTAGGTTTGATAGCTCCATTTGTAAGAAGTAGTGTCACAACTAAGCACTTTTTAGTGTACATTTCAGGTGATTTACTTGGATTATACATTGAGCTAACACTGACAAAGGCAAGGCCTTGTGGAAACTGTATTGCATACGCTACTTTGTCAGTTGATTATATTGCAGTATTGAATAATCAGTCCTAAAAGACGTAATTTTAAGTATGGATGATATCCACATTCTGTGAAATGATACTATATTTTTTTTTTCTTGTCCATTTGAGAATAATTCACCAGCAGAGACAAAAAGCTAATTAAAACATTTTTTTCCATATCCAGGTTTTCCAACAACTACTTACGATTTTATCTGACAGAACCACTCTGCTTTTTTCCTCACTTATCCAGCTCTTTGAAATACTGATTTGAAACACAGTGCATGTGAGAAAGAGATCCTGATTGCACATCTCTTAGAACAGAAATTGTGTTTTATTACATCTGTGTTTTAGTTGTATGTGTTTTGGTTGAGTCACCATCCCTGGAAATACTTAAAAGACGTGTAGATGAGGCGCTTAGGGACATGGTTTAGTGGGCATGGTGGTGTTGGGTTGACGGTGGGACTCAATGATCTTAGAGGTCTTTTCCAACCTTAATGATTCCATGATTCTATGATACATTCAAATGTTAATGATTCTCTTTTGTTTATTTTTTTTCAGAAGCAAAACAAATGAACTCACAACAGAAATTAACAAGCTTCAGGAAGAAGAAGAAATGTACAAGCAAGAGAAATCTGTCTATTTGTCATATGAAAAAAGGTGAGATGTATTGCAGCTAATGCAGTGCTAACTTTCACAGTCACAAGACTATTCTCGGGTATTGTGCACTCTTCAAGGAAACATTAAATAATTATTTTTTTCATTATTTTATTTTTACATATACGAATTTTCCCATATTAAGTTTGGCTTTTTGTTTTGTATTTAGGGCAGAGGCTTTAGCTGGTGAAATCAAAGAATTTCAAGGTCAGCTAGCAGACTACAACATGGTACGCTGCTGTCAGCTTTTGATACTGAATGCTCTCCCTTCTCTCATTTACTTTGTACTGATTTTGCTTTACTTCAGCATCTTTTTTATTGACATTTCTCTGTAAAAATGTACTGGTTAATACTGCCTTTTATTCAGTTATTGGAAAGGACAAAGATGGAAACTAAGGAAAACAAAAAAAAAGGGTACTATACATTAGGAGAAGCGGTTGCATATGGATTTAAGAAATTACTGCTGCATATTATTTGTGGGTTTTGTACAGCTTCATGTAATGACGATTACTTCTGAAAACTGCATGTAATCTACTAAGATTCCCAAATCATGTTTTTTCCATTTGCAATAACAGAAAATTGCTGTGTTTTCATGAGTGCTTTGTGAGTTGCTACCTATTTGTCTGATTTTTTTGTGCGTGTAATTAAAAGAAAGGAGAGCAATAACAGGTTGGAATCTTGTCTCATTTCAGGTTGTGGATATACTTAACACCAATACGGATATGGCAGAAGTGGTTCGAGATTACAATATGGTAAGAATTAGGACATTTGCTATATTTGAACAGTGAAATGGTGTGTGTTACATTCTTGGTGCTTCGAACATATGACATATATAAAAAAGCATAGCACTAATTTAAAACTTACCCATTTTTTCCAGTTAAATTAACCATAATATTGGCAACGTGTTTGTAGTGAGACAGTTGTCTGAAGTGCTACATTAACAGCCCCATGATAGTTTTCTGTGTTGTAGATTTGAGAAGGCTGTCATCCCAACCGAAATTATGAGTGTTAAAATATATTCTTTATTTGACTTGGAAGCATAGAACGCTAGCCTTATGAAAGGCAAATTCACTAGACTGCGCTGCCTTGTTAAGCTGCCTGGACGTCTGGAAATTTAGTTCTTTTTCGTCTTCTGCCTTTTAAATGACTCCAGTGTAATAAATATTAAATAGGTCTCTCACACAGCCAGCGACAAAATCAATGAGCTTTGTTCTTCCTTTACTTTCTTTATTTTCTAACACAGTTAGAGTGTTCCTTTAAGTATTAAGACGTGAGTGGCATTAAGCATGTTCCATTTCTTATGATCACTTTGTCCATAAGCAAAAGTAACTAGTTTTAGAAAAGGTTATTTTGGTAGCTTGAAAAACCACCTGAGTATTTCTTGGTCAATACAATTTTTTTTTTCCCCCTGCATTTGATTGAAAAATAAAGTCACAATGTCTGTGTCATAAAGAGAAGAATGCTTTGCAAGTGTTACATTTTCATTTTGTTTGTAGGCTTAAACAGTGTTTTACTAAGTGTTCCAGGAATAGATCCCACAGTAATAGTAAGTGAATTGATTTGTTACAAACTTGATTGTATTTCTTTTTCCCACATAGAGGTGCCTTCTTACTTCCTTTGGTTTCCAGTGGAAGACTGCAATTTCAGAAGGTCTTTCTTCAGTATCAACTGCAAAAACCCTCTGGAGCAGGCAGCCTCTGCTGCTCCTTCCTCTACTGCATTCTGAGCACCTTTCTGCTTATTTAAAGGAAACTTTGAATTTGTGCATAAAACTTGTATCTTTATTATTATATATTATATCAAAATACCTTTTTTTTTTTAAGTTAAAGGTTCAGAATGACCGAGACGCTCAGAGTGTGGATAAAATCTTCACAGAAAGACAAGCGTAAGTACATGAAGTATATGCTTCCCCAAAGCTGTTAAAATCATAACTGTACTTGGCAAAATTGAGGTGTTATCTAATTCAGTAGTTCCTTAACAGTGCGATGCACGCCAGAAGTGATACTGGAGCAATTTCAAGATGATGCATCAGTGCCAGGCTGCAGCTGGAGTTCCCAGCTTTAAACTCTTCTCCGTAACTGCTGTGGAGATACTTACCATGTCATCCAGGAGGAGTTAGGTGGCAGTGGAGACCCCTGTCTTTTGGCAACCTGCTATCAAGTTCCTGAGACTCGGGGGTTGTGTTGTGGAGTAGCAGAGTCAGGAAAGCAAGCAGAAATGGGAACTAGAACTGAGATTCCTGTCTGGTAAGATAGGGGTGAGTGGGGGGGAAGTTGAGGACAGTGAGGTGCTTGCAAGTAAGAATTTGTAAGCCATGAGAATGGCTTGTGTAGTAATAGGCTGAGAGGGTGAGTTTCTGAGACGTTTAATTTAGGGACAGGAGATGTGCACGAGAAAGAGATATATGATCCTGCTTGTTTCCTGTAAGAGCAATCTCGATGATGAGATTTTATGTATAAATAAGCACTTTTAAAAAACAATTTACCGTTTAATAATAACTCACTTTTCAATAATACTGCAGTTTTCAACAGCTTGCAAATGTGTCTATTCTACCCCTGGATGCATTTTTAAGTGTTAAGAAAATATGAAGAGAAAAAACATGGTTCAGTAGCAACCTAAGGCATTAGATATGCAGTAATGAAAATTTATCGTTGTACTGTATGTAGACACATTTAAGGGAATGGAGCAGTTGGTCTTTCTTGCTCTTCTAATTCAGGTAAAAAAAAACCACCAAATGCTTTGTTCTCTGTGTTAGTTTTGCCTAATAGACTACTGACCTGTGACACCATTGATTTGGATTCAGTGTCCAGTCTGGCTGTGGTCTGCTTCAACATTTTAGAGAAATTATTTTTCCTTTCCGGACTTTTTCACATATAAAGCATTACTGATTATGCCAGGTTCACAAGCTACTTTGTAAAGACTTGTTCATGTTAAGCAATACACAGTAAGCTCTCTCCCCCTGCCATAAATAACCACATAGGTTTTTATAAAAGGTGGATTATGAGTATTTTTTGCATGTTTTGAAATATTTGTTGTGACACTAATGCATGCACATCACCACTTTCAGCTTCATGATTCATGCAGCAATACCTTGTTACGGATTTGACGAGATGAAAGGAGATGGACTGCTTAGCTTCATTTTGTATTGTACATAAGTAGCATAATATGGAAGTACAAATGTACTACAGTTTTGAAAAGTCAGTTCATCATCCGTTGTTTAAGACGTTAACTCTTCTCAGTTACATAAGAATCTATGTATTTATCCTCAATAAATCCATCTTCCTCAGGCACAAATGCATGAATTTCCTCAGATATTACTACGGGATCTTCATTGTTTGTATCTGTTACTGTAGGAAAAGAACTCATGTCAGCTGAGAACTCCTGTTCAAACATCTCTGGGTCATTTTCTTCCAGACGACGGTGACTGTAGCTGATCAAATAGCGATACCATGTCGGGCATTTTACAGCAGTAAAAATCAGGAGTGTAGTGCTTAGGACAAACCCTAGGACACCCGCTAAGAAGGTCCAACTTTTGCCAAGAAGTGGTAACTCTTTAAAACAGACAGGAAAAAAAGAAGAGTCATCTTCATGAGGAATACCAGCAAGAACTCTAGTATGAATTTTTTCATAGTTAGATTGAGAACACCCAAAATAAACAATGATGGGGGAATTACTGAGTGTCTCCAAAGCTTTAATAGAATGTTATTGCTATGTTATTAGGGACTCAGTAACATCACTCAGCCCAAAAATGCATGTACATCTCATATTTCCTAGCAATATAAATCCACCATGCATATTTATCAAAATTAAATAATAGTTTCAAAGTCAGATAAAGTTCTGGGGACATATAAAAGATAAAATAATGATTTTTTCAAAATTTAAATTCCAAGATTCGGCCTTGGAAAAAAAAAATCAGTAATTGACTTCAAATGCTATTTCCCAGTCTTAAATTTCTGTATGGTGATGATGTCTGCGCCCTAAAATATTACATCTTTTGTTTGGCATATCCTTTCAATTGTATTTCTTTTATAATAAAAATTTCAATAGACTGTAGTTGCCAGTACTCTTTATTCAGAAGCTGGTTTTGTGTGCTGGTCACTGTCCTAAAATAGATTATAGCTGCTACAGCAAATGAAGTCTGTGGCAGTGGTGGCTTGCAATTTGTATATATATCTGGTGATTGATATTTCTTCTGCTTCAGGCAGAAGCAAGAATTAAAGCATTTCAGTATGGAAGAGTGGAGAAGAAAATTAATAGCATGTAAGAAAAAAATAAATTGACTTTACCAAAAGAAAAGCTAGAGTATTACAGAGTGATGATGGAATTAACATCAAAAGGTGAAGAAAGGTAAGGAGACTATCACTGAAATTTTCAAAGAATATGGGATGGGTACATAACGTGTCCTTTGCACTGAACACAGTCAAGGGCAGGAGTAAAATTAATAGGCTCACTCTTTTACATTTTAAGAAGACAGCTACGTCTAGAAAGCAGTTAGTTTGGAAGAAGTAATTGAATTTTTTTAAAGATGCTTCCCTAGTTCTGTTAGGCAGAGATCTGGACGATTACCTGGATTTCAAGCCTTTGAAATTTCATCATAGGTTTTGTAGCATTGTTTGAGAATTCAGGTGTGGTTTATCCGTTTTGAACACTTACTCAGTAGAGCTTAAGATTCACCATAATGTGTGTGCTGTCTACCAAAACATGGAAATACGCTTATTCTGTAGCCCTGGCTTTTATGGAAGAATTACAATGTGGTAGGAATACAAAACAGTATGAAATCATGGAACAGCAAATCAAACAGCTTGTAAGCAGTAAAGCGAAACATCAGTGTATTACCTGCATGTGTTCCATTGTTTCCAGTGGTGTTGTTTGGAGTCAGAGCTGTTAGTAAGGCACTACGTTTAAGCTTAATGGTGGAAGTGGATGCTACAGTGTTTTCTAAAGAAGCTTTTTCAATTTTGCAGTCAGCTGGTTGGATAGTTGCTGTCTTGATGGAGAATTTTTCCTCGGTGTTTGGGAATGTACATGTAGTGCTGTTTTCATTTTCTGTGAATGTGAGCAGTGGAAAGGCTATGAGATATTGCTAATCAATTGTCACTTTAATAAAAAAAAATTCTTGGATAACTAATGTATTACTGGAAAATGTAGGTAAGTTGATGGTGGATATTATCCAGATCAGGAAAAAAAAAACAAGATAAGGCTGTTTGATGTAAACAAGTATGAAATGCTGCTCTTATCAAAACTTACCTATTGTCACATTGGAGGCAGTTAGCCATATCTGTAAATCAAGGAGGTCACAGGAGCAGGTCCATGGGTTTCCAGCTAAAATGATTTTAATCAATTTAAAAGATGATTTCATATGAAAAGATTTAAGAAAGTTATACTGTAGATTTAAAACTGTCAGACTTTTTAGAGAAGTAAATACGTCTGAATCTAGTTGAATAATCATATTATAGGACAGATTCAAAACTGTCAGTTGATTTAATCCTGCAAATGCTGCTTTATGAACTGTGCTAATATAATTGTTGCTGAAATCTAGAACTACGAGTTTTGTCAGATTGCAGAAGCTGTTGTTATACAGCACAGTAATCATGTTTTCATTCAGATAAAGTTCAGTGAGGTTAATAAAACTTCGAAGAATGTCTTTGTCACTATCTTTTAAAGTGATTTTATTATTTTTGAGGCTTAATTTAGTAACGTTTTGGAAAAGGTTAGTGGGGATATTAGGGAGGTTCTTTCCAGACTCCTCACAAGTGACCTGTTGAAAAAAAGAGAATGA